AACTTTTTTGGATTTTTCTACCTGGATTATTGAGCATGCATCAGGATGTTAAAAAACAGGTTTGAAATTAGTGTTGTTGGATCAAACATCCCTCTTCTTACCCTGTAAACACATTGGAGAGGATTGAGCTCATCCTGAGCAACATTCAGCAGATTTTTGAGTGATTTGATAAGAATGGAGTTGAGAGCTACAAACCTGAAGCTGTTAAGAGTTTTGTTTCTCTTATGGGAACATTTATTGAATTATTTCATAGATGTGGGACTACGGTATGTGATGTTCCAAGGACCACCGAAAAATGAAACAAAAAGTGTCTGCTAGTTGTAAAGGAACATGTTTTAAGCTCACAAACTCCAGCAATATGAAATCCAGGACTTTCCTTTCTTTTAAACCGTGGACAAGATTAAATACTTTCACTTTCATGATGGTCACATTATGTTTAGAATTAAAATAAACATTTTTACAAACAAACATTTCCTTAAAATCATGAACATTAATTAAAACATCCACATCAGTGAAGAAAACGGATCATTTTGTTGGGCTGCATCATCATCATATTCTTCACACCATCCAATGTAGGGCGTGAATTTCCACTGCTTACCAAAGACTCATCTTTGGCAGTTTAAGCTTCTTAAAATGGGTTTATTTAAGTACCTGTACTGCACCAAGCTCCCCTGTAAGAAACAAATGATTCTCTGGTTGATTTTGTTAAACTGATGTAATGAGTCAGGGTTTATGATTTGGATATTTGAGGACAGATATCTGCAGAGTGATCATCTGCTCACTAGACTTGGTCATGGAGGATGCAGAGAGGCCTACATCCGCACTGAAGGAGGTGCAGGACTTTTCTGTTTCTGACAAGTAATGCTTGTGTACTACATCTGTGTTCTCCATATGTGTGGACTTTGCTCAGAGGGGAAAAATATAAATAAATATGACAAAGAAATCAAGTCTACCAAAAGCCTGTGTGATATGTGTTCTGGTCTGATGTTGAACTTTTGGGCCACAACACCAGAATACATGTTTGTTGCAACAACAAGACTGTAGATGAACAGAACCACAGCCTTCCCACAGTGGAACACAGTGGTGGCAGCACCATGCAATGGGGTGTCTTTTCTTCAGCTGGAACTGCGTTTTTATTTTTTAAATTTTTTAGTCAAGGTGGATGGAATGAAGAAAAGTTCAAAATAGTTGTTAATTTTGTCCTGAAATCTTCAGGTGTCTGCTAAATATCTGAAGATACAGACTTGCACTATTTTATAATCCCAAG